ATTGGAGAAAAATCTGCTACCATGGTAAATAAAAGAGATAGGGCCTGGAAAGTCATACATAAAGTCATATATTTTGATTATTATTGCTAACGAAGGGCTATAAGGTTAAGCATTCACTGCCCTTCCAATCTATCTAAAGTAGCTTAAATGATTGTATGAATATACAGATGCACATAATTTGAAATTTTGATTGGTATTCAAAACCTACACATTTTCATGAAGTCATCATTCCTTTTCAAATACAGAATGGCTGCTTTGGCTTAACATTTTTTGTGGCAGAACAATTTACTCCAAATTAATTCTTAAATTTATTTTAAGAAGATTCAAAAATGATTACCAAGTAAAATAATATGTTGTATCCATAGTTGCTATATTTAGATTGTTTCAATGATATATTTGCATCAAATATACTGTATGTTGGCCTCAATTCCAGTTCTTCTGTCTGTCTTCAGCAGCAATGAATACTGAATACCCTGAAAGACATCTTTCTGGCCATTGTACTAGATAGACCATTTGTAGATGTTATGAAGATACTCTTTTTACTTACATTGTAATCACCAAATTCTAACTTGACACAGCAATATCAGCTCATTCCATTTCAGTCCTTAGTCTTTTACTCTGGTTTCCCTGTGAGAAAACAACAGGACAGTTGTCCTTTGGCTTCATGATAGCCTGTTGAAATTCCTTGTTAGCTCCTGTCCCAATGCAAGGAAGTTACTAAAGGACAGTTTTAAACTTGTTCACCAAAGAACCTTAGAACAATAACATGCTAATGCTTTTTTTCTGTGTGTGTGTGGAATGGCTGTTATGATTATTTGCCAGCACAAAGGAATTTCTAAAACCCCAAAGATAGTATGAACTGGCATATAAAAATGGCAGGCAGATGAAGTATAACATTTATAACATAAAATGCCTTTACATTTGTCTTTGGATGTTGCCAGCAAGTCAAGATAAAAATAAGTCACATAGAGTGCTACATTGAATTTAAATTGCATTATATTAATTGAAATTAGACAGATTGTTACATATTACAATCGGTATTGGCAGTGTTAATTAATCATTTTGGTCAAAATGTTTTTGGAGAAATTGGAAAAATTGCTCAACAATGTTACATCCTTATGAGGTGCATAGATTTAATATAGCAGAACAGTGGATACTATTTTTTGGATCAGTGTTATTAAAACTGTGAGAAATTAAAGAAAAATTAAAGAAACAACAATTAGTCTTGAAAAATCCTTCAGTTAATTATTATTATATTCAAATATAGTCCCAGTTTCTGAAGTATATCAATAAAATGATTCTCCATGTATTTTATTTTTTAACAAAATAGGTGTATTCATTTACTAAATTTATTGACATAAGCACTCAAGGCTAAACTTCCAATAAGATATACAGCCCTTAAGTGTGCATATCAGTATCCATGCAAATAGATACACGCAAAATTTGACAACAGGAAATACATGAAATATAGCTATTTAAAATTTCACGTTGATCCTTCAGACTAGAAATATATTCTATACACTTCCAAACTCTGTTTTAATAATGGTACATGGAGGAGGTAGGTATTTATTTGATTTTGTTAGGATTTCTTTAGCGTTATTATTTTGCTTATTGATAAATTTTGTTTAAAGAAAAAAACTATTAATATCATATGAAAATTAGTAGAGGTGAACCATAGTTAAGGAGTATTTTTAAGCAATGGAAGAGAGGGAAAGCATAATGAAGACAGAAATAAGAAATAGCGAGTTCCAGAGGAGGAGGATAGGGCACTTTTCTGGTAAGAGTTTGCATAAAATGATTCCCATAAGTAGGACAATGTCTTCATAAAAGGAGAGTTGGTTTAACAGATGAGATTAATTCTTGAACTGTGGCAGTACCTCAGGGCACAATTCAAGGGCAGATGGACATGCTTTTAAACAAAATGGGTCTTGTGGTCATGCATCATTTTATTTTTAAGGATGCCAATAGAGCATTGAGGAACTTGGGGAAAGAGTGTAAATTGCCACCAGAGTGCCCAGCTCTCATTTAAAATAATTCTCATCTGAAACTAAATCAGATTGAGCCAGAAACTTGGGGGGAATTAAAAAGTATCTCCAACCAGTCCATAGGTTGCCCACAATGAAATAAAGGTTAGATAGAGAATGCATTCTGTTAGTGTATATGTTTTTAATGCAACTATATAGAACTATATAAAAATATCAATAAGAAAGAAAAAGGGGAAATGACAAAAGTGCGTGAGGCACAACAGAAAAGAACAAGAAGAGAAATAAATAACTCTGACTTCAAACATTCCTGAAAGATGGTCCCTTCTACTATTACTTGTCAAGCTGAATTCAGAAAAAAAGTACTTTTGCTGTTTCTAGTCTTCTAATTACCTTCCTTTTCTCTTGTTATATTTTATTTCATTTTATTCTCCCTGTACTATTCTTACTTGATAATATTGTTATATGAATTAGGCATCCAATCATGTAAGTAGGTTTCCATAGTGACATACAGAACTAACTTTTGACCCAAATCTAATTTAATTGCTAGTGTAGCAAAAATATCACTCACCTGGTCATCACGATGAACCTGCTATCACTACACTCTTCTTTACTAGCATTGCAATCTTTGGAGAAAGATCATAAATCTTTACAGGCTGGACAAATGAGTATCCAGGAACCTCCCTAATAACTGTATAATTTCCCCTCAAACCATAAAAGAATTATATTAAAAGCTCAATAGAATTTTCAGTTGGCTCCTTTTGATGTAAAGACTCTGTCTCCAAGAGGAAATGAATGAAGAGGATGTTTTTTGTTTCATGTGGCTAGGGTATCATTTGTTCTGTGGCTGGAGAAATCCCACATTACCAGGCCAGTAGCTAATATACTGAAAATCATCTTCATCTGTCTTTTATAAAAAAATATATGTATAAAGAAAATAGCTGCATTCATTTTCAGGTGGCAGCACGTAATTGCTAGGATAAGAGGCAGTGTTTTTTTTAACAGTCCTTTATTCTTTGCAGGCCTTAAACAATGATTGGCTTGCCATGAATAACGTCTAGCACAATTGGCTGAGGAGCACCCTCTAGACAAGGTGTCAGTTTCATGCCTTCAGCTGGGCATAGCATAAGTGGGGAAGGGCAACATTTTCATTGCAGGTGTGATATTAAATTTTCATGGAATAAATAGGCAGATAGTGTGCATTCTCTTGGGTTGGACAAGTTGAAAGAGCTCTCTTTTTCTAACATTCCTTTGTTTGTAATAAAGGTAGATCTGGACAATTGCATTACTGATGGAAGCATTTAAGCATTGAACAGAAAGATAAGCAATGAGCTTCAGTGATTTCAAAACTGTGTACTTTGTGAAGGATATCAAAATATTTCCTTTCATCTGATACCACATGTCCAGCATTCTTTAGTAAGTCTGAGGGTTCTTCTGGTTCAATAAAGGCTTTCCATAGTGATGCTGAATATCAAGAATTGCTGTAGTATAGAACAGCAAAAAGCATTTTGTGCACTGCAGAATAAATCTCTTCAGGAGGCACTTGGATCGATTTTATAAAACCAAACAAGTATAAGTCTTACAACACTCTGTAAAACATAAAAAAGAGAATTTGAAAGATGATATGCAGTAATTACTTTACAGCAGAAGCAGGCAGCCTCTTGGTGTCCACTTCATGTATTTAATAGCCAGTAGTGGTACTAAGCAGACCTATGGTATCATTGTGGGTGAAGCCCACAAGAACGATGAGAAAAATTATTTAAAATTATCAGGAAATACTAGTTATTTTTAATTTACATAATAATGACCTAGGCTAAATGACATAGTAGTTATCATTCCCATATTTAACCACTCCATGCCCTTTTGTTAGGAAGTATTGAAATGTTATATCCCAATAAATGAATTTGTCATTGACTGTTTGTCTCCTTGTATTGTATAATTTCCTGAATAATTTCTACTATTTTCCTAGAACATTACTTCAGCTCATATTCATTTGAAATTGTCCGTCTTTCATTGTCTCAGTTAAATCTGTCTTTGAATAATAGATAATGTTGCCTCCAAAACTTCATCAGCACATAGTATGCTCTAGTATTCTAAGTGAATAATATCCACTTAGGAGGCTGAAGCATGTAAAGTTACCAAATACTGAAATGACAAGAAGCCGAAAGCTTATTTGCAGTGTGAAAGGAAGGTACTGGAGACTTCGTAGGATCCTCTAGTAAGTATTTCTAAAGATTCTGATGATGCAGTAGGTGCAATATTCAGCATTACTAATGAGTACCATAATTGAAACTGAAGAATTATTTTTACAAACTCTCAAAACTATTACAGACTGCTGGGCATAAAACATGCAACCATTTTGAAAGCGCTCAAACTTCAACATAATCATTTGACACATTACCAAAGTAGCTGCAGGAGTGCAATCAGGCAACATATTATTTACATTCAAATTTATATTTAACCTGTTTTCTTGAATTGAACCTAGTATGCTTTCTTGATAACATTAACATTTGGAGTGATGATAATCAAGATATTGCATGTGGCATCAGAATAAAAGAAGTTACACAGTTGTTTATTTCATCAAACTGAATTCTAATTCCTTCTCATGATTGAGCTTGCTATAGAACCAAAACCTAAAATAGGAAGTTTTAAATGAACATCTAATGAAATTGATTTTCTTCATCTAGTCTTATCTTCCAATTTTCCTTATCTAGTAAGAAGAAAATAAAAAAGACTCTGTAGGTGGGGAGCACAGCTTTTGGTGATAAGAAGTCCTATTACCTGTGGTTTGCACATTAAAGGAGTTAATGTTCTCCATCTGAACACTTCACTGCAAAGTGTGCTGTGCATCTGATCAACCCATTCCTTATTTAACACTCATGCTTGTTCCAGTTTCTTAATTGTTTCCATAAAAGTAGCCTACAAAAACATACGGAAGTAATTTTGCTACTTAGATGAAAGCTCTTGGATGAAGAAAGATAAACTCATGTTTTCTCCATTCTTTTTCTTTTTGTCCAGTACCCAGCTGCCTTAATGAATTTGGGAGCTATTCTTCATCTCAATGGCAAACTTTTGGAGGCTGAATCAAACTATCTTCATGCCCTTCAGTTTAAACCGGATGATGTCATCACACAATCAAATCTTCGCAAACTCTGGAATATTATGGAAAAACAAGGCTTAAGAACAACCAAAACATAATGCAGGGTTTTTAAAAAGTGTTGTCATTTTTTTTGTTTGCAAAGAGTTTTAAAAAATAAAATAAAATCCAAAATAACTTTTGGAGCACTGTTTTGTTGAGTGCTCTTGCTAACTAAGCTCTAATTGTCAAAGGTTGTAATTGCTGCTAGGAGAACCTACAGGGCTGCATTTTGATGTTTCAAATTGAAAATGAGAAAGGGGTAGAATCTTTTTGATAAGTTCCATGAAGGACTTAATAATTATTGCCAAAATCCAGGAAAAAAAAAAAACACCTGAAACTGGAGCACCAGAAAGGAACCCATTTTAGCATATTCACTAGGGCATATTAGTCATTCTCACTTCATTTTTATGTGGTTTCTGATAGAAAAGTCATGTTGCTGAGCATCCGTCCAGTAAAACTAAGAATTTAGAAGAGGATAAAGACTGGCTTAAATTTATTTTCTTAGGCTGTAATTCATTAAATGTATACTAAAACTAAATGTGTTTGCTATTTGTCTTGATATTGTATAACTCCACAGACCTGCCTATTGAGCTAATTCACATACTAGCTCAACTATTTGAAAAAAAAAATTGAAAGATGTGGTTTCATGTCTAATCTTCACTGGCAAATGCATATTGTTAGCCTGTTTGATTGGTTGGTTGGCTGGCTGGTTGGCTGTGAATTATTCTCTGAAAGTGTAGAAACAAACAACAATGAAGGCGACTTGGAATGTAGAATTAACAGTATACAATAGTACTGAATGAAGTAAATGAAGAATTAAGGCAAGCTCTCTGTCATCTTGTAATCTACTATGCTCCAGGGTCTGAATAGTCAATTATTTTTAAAAATACAGCAGGTTGCTGAACCTATACTGTACAGTAAATGCTTCTTTCTTTGTTTTGCCCTGGTTAAAAACGGGAGTGCTCTGTACTTTAAAACAGAAGCTATCCACTGGGTAAGAAAACTGAATCTTGCTCATGACTTCAACTTTGTTATATTTTGTTGCTTTAACCAGCTTGCCTTACTTCCAAGATCAGATCAGTGTTAAGCTGGAGAGCCATGTCCATAATAATGAAATGTAAAGTATGGATTTATGTTTGTTCTCATCAACAATATGTATTTTATTAAGAAAGAAATGCATTTGTATACAGACATTTTAAATATGAACTGGATAGACATGAAGAAACATGAATTTTCTGCCTTTTAGTACATTGAAAGCAAAGGATAGAACAGTGTAAGTGAACATGTTACTAACACTGTTTTTGAAAATATGCAAACACTTGTAGCATGATTGCATCTGTACATGCTGTAGATTGCACCTGTGGCTTGACTACATGATGCATCGTGCATCAAGCACACACAAAGCAAACTACTATCTCCATTAAACTGATACCCAGGTTGCCAGTTTGTGTAAATATACTTTCAAAGTATGTTGTCATTGGATTAACAACAAATTTGTAGGCATGCATTTGGTGAATGCATTTTTGAAATGTTAGCAGGAGGATTTACCAGCTGTTTGTGAAAAATAAACTATTGTGCTATCTGCAAGAAACTAAAAGAGTTTAATATTTTAAATAAATATTTAGTGAATCCACAAGGTGTTAGACTAAAAGGAATTATGTGACTGACAATAGCTGCCAATTATTTTTGCATTTATTTAACTATTTATAGATGAAGAGAAAAATATGTGCAGATTCTAACTCAATTCTGCATTCTTTTTTTGTTTGTTTAATATTTCAACTTATTTAGCCTAATTGTTATGATTTGCATAAAAGCGTCATTTAAAAACGAGACCATTTACCAACTCCCTTTATTATTAACTAGGCAAATTACACTATAATTTCAAAATGGCATATATACCCATCAGTCATTTTTAGATCAGTTTGACTGGCACCAAAGAGCTACTGTAGACATATCCAAGGGCTTGCTATAGCTGGCTTAATTTTTCATCTAGGAAACACATGTTGTTAGTTGTGAAGTTGTGTCCGACCCATTGCGACCCCATGGACGACTTTCCTCCAGGCCTTCCTATCCTCTACTATCCCCCGGAGACCATTTAAGCTCACGCTGACTGCTTCAGTGACTCCATCCAGCCACCTCATTCTCTGCCACATAGAAAACACATAGCCAATTCTAAATTCATACTTAAAGCCACTTCGAATTAAAATGGGAAGCATGGATAGTTTTTTTCAGAAATAGAGAGCTAGTTATGTGGTCCTTTGTATCCTGGCACTATATCCTGCAACATCCATAAACTGAAGGTTAGGTGTCTCTAAGAATCCTCCCTATGTTAACAAAAAGTGTTTGTATTGAATATCATTCCATTGTTATTACTTTGGAACTGATGCATTGTTGAAGGTTTTTATTTGCCAACTGTAGCAAATAGTCATTAGCTAGGATTCCACAACTGTTGCTAGTCTTCTGGTTGCTTTTCATGGCGTGCTTTTAAATGTTTAAAGAATGTATTGGTGTTTAGAAGGAAACAGGAACACATTTATTCTGTGCATTTTAGTCACCCCAGTTTTCTGTGTCGATTTACTAAGGAACAATGGGCTATTTTCTCAGCATAACCACAATTTATGTCATCCTTGGTGATACTCTGAGCTTTCTTGATTTTCCATTACGACTACCATTGTTAGAAACATTTTATTATTAGGCACCACCTTCTAATTTCTGTTTTCTTACATTAGCCTATTTTATTTTAGAGCTTTGTGCAGATGAGTGACCGTTCAATTTTTTCCTTCCAGGTGCAGTTCCAGAAACTGTTTAATGGGATAGAAAAAACTAAAATGTTAACCAGTGAAATTCAATATTTTCATTGTTATGCAATCAGATATGGATAAAATGCAATGTTAGCTACTGTCTATTTAACTGAACAATGTACTGTTCCATCATTTTCTCAAAACTGTAAAACCAAATGCTGTATTAATGATGAAGATTGAATTTTTAGCATCATCCTATGCATGTATACTCAAGAATAAATCCAATTAAATTCAGTGGGTTGAACCCCATGGAATTGTGTATAGGATAGCAATTTAACTGTATTAGTAAGACATTCTGAAATGTTATACTTCAGCATCAGATGCAAGGTCAACTTCCTAGTTGTAACATTTCACTTTTCATTAAACCGTCTCCCTTTTTATGTTCTTTATTCTTAATTATATTTCTTATACATTAGATTCCAATGAAGTTGTACAGGAGTTTTGCTTGTCTCAAATCGAACAATGACAAATTGTTAAAATAAAATCTTGTTTTTCCATGCATTTTCAGTTTAGGGTTAGGCTTTATATCTCTCAATTTTCAAATAAGTTTAAAATTGTTGTCTCTGCTCAGGGATTTGTGGTGGATATTGCAGACAGTGCTTAAAAATAAGAGCACAAATTTACTAAATTAAATTTTTATTTTTTGAGAAAGCATATTTGTATAAATTATCAAGATTTGTAGGGTTTCCTTTTTGTAGAAATAATTGTTTATGTGCCAGATAAGAAAATCCACTTTGTTTTCAGTAATAAATGATTGATAACAAATACACCGAATTCACTGTCATCTGTTATTATCAACACTTGATTAATTTTTATTGAATATACTGTATATTAAGTATAATAATTAGAAAGTAATAGCATGTTTATTTTTATTGAAAATGGCTGAATTTACTGTACTCTATTAATCCATAATATAGTTTCTTTGATTTTAGTTTATAATGATGTCTGAACCTTCACAAACTATTTTCTGTAATTTGGAATTATGGGTGAGCTAAGGCATATGACAAATCATGGTTCAAACAAAACATGATTTATAAACTCTGTTACACACTAGCAATTATGCTAGACAATGATATTTTTCTGCATATTCCAGAATCTCAAGGTATTCTCTAGTGCTGTCTCTTATGTGTTCCTCACTGTTCCCTGAAAAAAGATCGAAGATTTGTCCCTTATTACACCTCATGGGGAAAAAAAACCCATGAATATTAGGGATGTACTCATTCACAAGATTCTGGGCAGACTTCTTAATTCAGTGTTTCATAAAATAGATAGCTTTAATTATGATTTAATTCAGTGTCCAAATTGTAAAAGAAATATGTTTCCCATTAATTTTGTTGTTAGTTGCGAATTTGTGTCCAACCCATCGCGACCCTATGGACAACATTCCTCTAGGCCTTTCTGTCCTCTACCATCCTCTGGAGTCCATTTAAGCTCACGCCTACTGCTTCAGTGACTCCATCCAGCCACCTCGTTCTCTGTCGTCCCCTTCTTCTTTTGCACTCAATCTTTCCCAGCATTAGGCTCTTCTTCTCCAGTGAATTCTTCCTTCGCATTAGGTGGCCAAAGTATTTGAGTTTCATCTTCAGGATCTGGCCTTCTAAAGAGCAGTCAGGGTTAATCTCCTTTAGGACTGACCGGTTTGATTGCCTTGCAGTCGAAGGGACTCGCAGGAGTCTTCTCCAGCACCATAGTTCAAATGCCTCAATTCTTTGACGCTCAGCCTTTCTTATGATCTAACTTTCACAACCATACATTGCAACTGGGAAAAGCATAGCCTTGACTATATGCACTTTTGTTGGCAGGGTGATGTCTCTGCTTTTTAGTATGCTGTCTAAGATTTGCCATAGCTTTCTTCCCCAGGATCAAGCGTCTTTTAATTTCTTGGCTGCAGTCCCCATCTGTGATGATCTTGGAGCCCAGGAAAATAAAATCTGTCACTACCTCCATTTCTTCCCCATCTATTTGCGAGGAATTGAGAGGGACGGATGCCATGATCTTAGTTTTCTTAAAGTTGAGTTTCAAGCCAACTTTTGCACTCTCCTTCTTCACCCTCATCAAGAGGCTCTTTAGTTCCTCTTTGCTTTCTGCCATTAGAGTGGTATCATCTGCATATCTGAGGTTGTTGATATTTCTCCCGGTAAACTTAATTCCAACTTTTGATTCATCTAGCCCCACCTTTCTCATGATGTGCTCTGCATATAAGTTAAATAGGCAGTATACAGGGTGACAGTATACAGCCTTGCTGGACTCCTTTCCCAATTTTGAACCAATCGGTGGTTCCGTGTCCAGTTCTCACTGTTGCTTCTTGACCCACATGTAGGTTTCTCAAGAGACA